CCGTGGCAGGAAAGACCTGGGGCGGGTGGTGCAGTGATCCAGAAAGGGGAATCGCAGTGTCGGATCTCTTAAAAAGTTTGTATTCGCCGTGTGCGCTTCCAGTTCTAAAAAGGGAGGAACTTGAGAAACATGGGTGCATATTTGGAAGGCACACACCAAAGTAAATGAAAATTACCTTAAAAATGGTTTAGAAATGTAGGTGAGTCCCTCTTTTTTGGGGGGGTTCTGGGGTTCTTTTTGGAGTTTTGCTGTCAGTTCCAAAAATAGAGGGAAGGGCCAAGGAAAAGCCAGAGCACCAACAGAGAGGAGATGCAGAGACAAATTTATGATCTGGGATTGTCACCTCAAGGACCGCTCTGGGGTCTGCTTTGATTAATTGCCCGAGGCACGCTTGAAGGTAGAAACTTGAGAGGGAGGCTGATGGGGGAGAGTCCTTCTGGGGCCAGCAGGCATCAGCCCTTGACTGGAAATGATGAGTGTGTCCAACATAGTTAGTTGTGGGAGATCTCAAGGAATGTCCCCGGGGGTTGTCAGACCTTGGTCTCTCCATTTTCAGTGTATCCGTGTAAAGCTTTGAAAAAGCCCAAATTATTAAAATATTCCTTTTCTCTCTGTCATCTTAGGTGTCCTTTCTGGTAACCCGAGGCCCGGACATGCCCACTGCGTTTCTCTTGAGGCTTTTGGACTTGGGTATATGCTTCCACTAAACTGAAACCACAGTCAGAGAGCTCGACTTTGTTTAATATTTTGAAATGTAAATGAAACGTACTACTGTATATTAAACGTTGGTTTGAACCAACTCTCTAGCTGCTGTTGAAGAATATATTGTCAGAAACACAAGGCTTGATTTGGTTCCCAGGACAGTCAACACAGTAATACTACACAAATCAAGCCATTGATTTGGGGGAACAGAAGATCCATAACTTACAAATACGGGTTTTGACTTAACTCACAAGAGAACTCATCATGAGCATTGCTGATAGAAGAATGGCCTAGTTGTTCCTCTCAACAAGGATACAGCAAACTCCGCACAGTCAAGAAGCCTCAGGCCATGAAGGACACATGTTAGGAATCGGGAGAAGCTGACTTGGTCACTTCCACCCATCCCATTACCTCACTGGTCCGCAGACAGCATCATTTGTAAGATGGGCCAAAATGGGTGGAAAGTGTCTATCTTCTGCCTCACCCATGATGCTGCAACTTACACACTTCAATCCAAGACCCAAATACTGGGAGGGGAGTTTCTCGTGATGGCTGGGTGGCCTGCGTGGAGCAGATGCACAGAGACCATGTGCAGTAGGGTGGCCCACAGCAGCCTTCCCCAGCACGGTCCTGGGATGTTTTCAGTGAAGTCTGAACGCTCTCTGTGTAGAGCAAGGGCTTGGAAACAAATGCTGTCCTGGAGGTGCTGACCACAGAGAGGGGAGGTCTGGTACCTGCAGGGAACTCTGAGCAAAAGAAATAGTAAACTAAATGCACAAAGTATCAAGTGTAGCCATTCTAGACACCACGTTGTATCTGAATAATTTTTGTGCCAATAAATGACATCAGAATTTTAAAAACGTGTATGGATGTCTTTTTATTCATAATTACAAGTTTATAAAGGAAGCAGGTCCTTCAACAGCCAGGATTCACTAAGCATGTGGTACGAGGGACCACGCAGGACACGGGAGCTGCCTGGCATGGTCCCCTTCCTCGTGTTCACAGGCCACACAAGGCGGATTCAGCATCGTGTCGGAGTGGAGTGGTAACTCCCCCAAGCCAAGTGGGGAGTAGAACCACACCCAGGGTGTGAGCCGCAGTGGGCGGTGTGAATTCCACTGGCCATGCCAGGAAATCCTCATGGAAAGGGGACATTTGCCACGGGTATTAAAGGATGAGTGGGACTTTATCAGATGAAGCATGTGAAGACCTTCAGCAGAAAGTCGGTCTGAAAGCACAATATCCTGCAGGAATGGCAAATACTAACTTGAACCCTATCCGAATGCAAGTCTTAAACCATCTTTGATATGTAAAATGGCATTTTCACCAGTCGGACCTCATAGTTCAGCACAGCTGGCTGAGTGGTCAGTGGAGAACAAAGGGAATGATAGCAAGTAGAAGGGGGTCAGAGTGGAGAGTGTGGAGCCAGACCGTGACCTGCCTCGGTTCAACAGGAAGGAGTTTGAGCCTGATGTGTGGATGACAGGGAACCGTGTGAAGTTCTAAAACTGAGAAGTAGAATCTGAGTAGTATTTTTAAAACAGATAACCAGTCAAACAGGTAAAGAGAAAACGAGATGCCGCAGGACCTAGGAAAGAGGCCTACAATAATGGGGAGGAGAGAGCATTAAATAAAGGTGGCAAGTGCCATGCAGAGATTCCTCTACAGAGAGCATGCCTATGGAGTGCTTCCAAAGAACAGCATTTTCAGTTCAGGTAAATTTTCTACTTCTAAATTCCTAATTCCTATGGGCTGCAGCTACCCAGTGAGAAATACTGAATCATAAAAGCTGTTCAAAGAATTTGTATTAGGAAGAGCAAGAACATTACAAGGCCAGGGACCCTATGACGTTGTATCCCCCAAATCTGCCAGAGACCTGGACCACAGTGCTGTTCCATATACATTTGTTGGAGGACTCCTCTATTAAAACCAAAGATGAGTTTAAGTATCAATAGTAATACTGATAAGCTTTAACCCTCATAGTTAGTCTCATACCTGTCTCAGATTTTCTGTAGTTCTAAACCATGCATCAACTCTTTTGCTCTGGAAAATATGATCACCATAACTTTTTTGGTTCTACATGAAATAACTATCAATGACCAGTGATGTTACCATTCATGAAAGATAAAGGGCATGGGAATGAATGGACTCCGGAAAATAGTGGCCATCAATGGGAAAGACATACCCCTTAAGACATGGAGTCCTCAGGATTTAGATCTTTAGTGAATCCAGTGGGTTTCAAGTTACATCTAGACAAAACCTTCCAACTTTGTTGAAGTGAATTACTAAAGGTAGATGAGCTAATCGAAGCTTTAAGGACAGTCTCGTTAACCTATCAATCCAGGGTGGTTTCATGTAACCCTGTAAGAAGGGAGGGATGTGGCAAAGAATGACTTTTGGGATCCTTGCATGCATTGGTACAGTTCTTTTTTTTTTATTTTATTTAAATTCAGTTCGCATATAGTCTATTATTAGTTTCAGAGTTCAGTGTTTCATCAGTTGTTTGTACACCCACTGCTCACATTACATCTCGTGCCCTCCTTCATGCCCATCACTCAGTTACCCCTTCCCTCATCCCCCTCCCCTCCAGCAACCCTCAGTTTGTTTCCTATGGTTGAGAGTCTCTTATGGTCTGTCTCCCTCTCTGATTTTGTCTTGTTTTATTTTTCCCTCCCTTCCCCTATGCTCCTCTGTTTTGTTTCTTAAATTCCACACAAATGTTGGCAAGGATGTGGAGAAAGGGGAACTCTCTTACACTGCTGATGGGAATGCAAGCTGGTACAACCTCTCTGGAAAACAGTATGGAGGTTCCTCAAAATGTTAAAAATAGAGCTACCCTATGACCCAGCAATTGCACTACTAGGTATTTACCCCAAAGATACAAATGTAGTGATCCGGAGGGGCACCTGCACCACAATACTTATAGCAGCAATGTCCACAATAGCCAAACTATGGAAAGAGCCCAGATGTCCATGGACAGATGAATGGATAAAGAAGATGTGGTATATATGTATACAATGGAATATTACTCCGCCATCAAAAAATGAAATCTTGCCATTTGCAATGAGGTGGATGGAACTAGAGGGTATTATGCTAAGCTCATATGGTACAGTTCTATAGGTTAGGCCTTAAAACTCTTGGAGGCATGTAAAGTAGTTTGAAAGAATTAAGGCTGTGGTGTCAAATTACCTAGTTTCAAATCTCAACTCCACCTCATACCACCCATGTGACTTTGAACATATTACTTAATCTGTGCTTGCTTCCTCCTCTGAAACTATGGATAATCGTTATGATCTAGCCCGAAAGGTTGTTTTGAGGATGAGATAATTCACGTGAAGCACACAGCATAGCCTGATATATGGTATCAGGTTGACCCATATGGAACAAGGCTCAAAAATACTTGTTAAAATGAACTAGGCTAGGTCTTGGTTCTGCCAGGGTACCGGTGCGAGTGGGAGGGTGGGGAGAGTGAAAACAAGTTTCCTGTTAATAGGATATTCCTATTCCTGTTAATAGGATATTCTAAATAAGGGGAACAGCTAACATTTATTGAACACTTACTAAGCCAAATGAATTAAGGGTGGGTCACACGTGATTTTAGGAGAAAGGCCACACCCCACTAAGCTTCCCAGCCTTCACCTGAACTGTCCACACTGCCTCCCCCAGAACAGAAGCTCTTCCCGGATTCATTTCACAAATGTGTGAGTTCCCAGTAGGTGCCTCAGCAAGAGTGTTTCCAGCGGTATAGACGGGCAGGAACGTCTCACTGGAGGGGTTCGAGAGAGCTCATGAGCTTGTGGGGCACGTGGAGCCTTCTCCAGTAGTTTGCCTATAAGGGGCTGGAAGGAGGTGTGCGGTGATGTTTTGTGTCTGTGTGGTTGGCAGCGATGCCAGCATACGTGTAGGCCGTTAGGAATGAACCAGTGGCGAGGAAGAAGATAGACGATGTCAGAGAGAGGGCATCATTGCAGGAGCCCCCATCAAGCGGGTGAGGCGGGCACCAGACGAGGTTGGGAGAGGCTGGCCTTAAATATGAGATTACCTGGGCCCCGCGGGTCCCACCTTACGTAAATCACAAGGTTATCCAGATGATAAAATGTGAGGTTAAAGAGAAAATGTAAACTTCCCGGGGGGGGTGGTGGGAGTAAGGGTGGGGGTGGGGGTGGGGGTGGGGCTGCGGCTGGGGCTGGGGCTCATGGATAACCAACTCTTACTCGCCGCCAGCTCATCCCCAGAGCAGACGAACTTTGCACATGCGCGGTGGGCACACGTCGCGTCGGCCTGAGGCACTCTCGCGAGAAGAGCCGTGCAGGCCGGGAAAAATGGCGCCTCCCAGTCCCCGAGAGCCCAAGGCCCCGACTGCCACGAGCGCGGCCAAGCCCGACGGGGAGATGGTGCTGCCGGGCTTCCCGGACGCAGACAGCTTCGTAAAGGTGAGTTCGCGGGGCCTCCGGGGACACCGTGAGCCGCCGCCCGCGGTCGGCCGGAAGCGGGCCCGGGCCGTGTCCGCGGCCGCCCATTCGGCCGCGCGCGCGCCGCTGCGGAGCCCGGGGCTGGAGTCCAGGGGCGGCTGCCCGCGCCGGGCACGGTCTCTCACTTCCTTTCCGGGGCGGAGATCGCACGCGGACACTGAGGGACGCCCCGCTTCCCAGGGCCCTTGTTCTCACATTTGAACCCATGCAAATGTGTAGAGTGTGGAGAGCCGAGTCCGCGTCGTGGGAAGGGCTTCCTTGTCACCCTGATGCCCCCAGCCCTCGTGACCTCGTCTCGGCCCAGGCTTGAGCCACCTAATCAACTCTCCGGAGGGCTGTAGGCCACACCGGTCGGCGCCCTCCCCTTCCGCGGCCAAGATGGTCCCCTTTTCCTCGTCTGTGGTGCGGTCCTGCATAATCCCAGACGCTGGTTTTAATGTCACCTGTTACAGCGGCCACCGAGCTGGTCTCCTCTAGGTGCCTTAGAACGTGTACCATTGCCGCCTCGAAGGAACACAGAGAGGATTATTTGTGTAATGCTTTGTATATGAATAAACAAAACTAGGTTTAAACATCTCATGCATACCTCTTACAAAACCAGGAAACTAAAATAATTTGTAAGTTAGCACTGTGTATTCCCCCAAACTCCACTGGGTTAGGTGGATCCTTAGGAGATGTCATCATTCATTTGTTTGGTTCTGATAGTTCCTGGACCACTAGCCATGGTCCTGAATTGGTGGCATTCATGTTCACCAGCTACCATGTGTCCCACCAGGACGCAAGTTCCCACCTCCTTTCTCTCTCTTCTCCCCCTGGAAAACATTCATTACACAACTCTCAGTGATGTCATTTGGCCTTCACACAACCCACCATCATTTCTTTATGACAACCACTTCAGATTTTTTCTTATTACCCCACAACAATTAGAGAACTACTTGGCACTAACTGAAACACAAAACACAAGTCCAGTTGTGGGCAGTGGCCGTTATAATTTGGTCAGCAAAGGATCTAGAGTAGTCTTATGTTTTAGATGCTTGCCCAAATGAAAACACAAAAATAAATTCCTGTAGAAAGCTCATGGACCTGAATTTAAATAGTAATAATAATAGAACTTATGTGCCTACCAGGCACTACCCAGTGTGATTTTTCTTGGCTCATTTAATCCTCACAACAACTCTATGGGGTGGTCACTGTTGTTATGCCTATTTTTCAGAGGAGGAGGCTAAGGTCCAGATAAATAACTTACCCAAGATCACAGTTAATAGGTAGCAGAGCCAAGATTCAAACTTAGGCCATTTTGAATATTTGTCTTATATGTTATTAGTTCTTTCTCTCCCCACTCTCCCAAGAATGTAAGCTCTAAAACTTGGTTCCATGTTCACTATTGTATCCTCAGAGCCTGGGGTAAAATCAGCACTAAATGAGTATTTGTTGAATGTGTAAAATTCATCATCTAGCACAATGTATTATATATAATAGATCTTGAGAAAAGTGAGTTGCTGAATGAATGGGGATCCATGTTTAAAACATGCTTGTTTTTCTGGGTTTTGACAGTTTGCTCTTGGGTCAGTGGTGGCAGTCACCAAGGCATCTGGGGGCCTACCACAGTTTGGCGATGAGTATGATTTCTACCGAAGTTTTCCTGGCTTCCAGGCATTTTGTGAAACACAGGGAGACAGATTGCTTCAGTGGTAAGTACTATATATGATTTTCTCATGTTGAGAGAAATAAATATAGAGAAATGGGTAGTTTTTTCTTAACCATATTTTTCTGTGCTATAAAGAGCTATAGGGGTACCTGGGTGGCTCAATCGGTTAAACATCTGACTCTTGATTCGGCTCAGGTCATGATCTCGGGGTTATGAGATTGAGACCTGAGTTGGGCTCCTCGCTCTGCTTCTCTTTCTCTCTCTCTGTCTCTCTCAAATAAATAAATGAATCTTAAAAAAAAAAAAAAAAAGGAAGAGCTATAAAATATAAAAATGAGACAGTGGGGGTGCCTGGCTGGCTTAGTTGGTAGAGCATGCGATTCTTGACCTTGGGGTTGTGAGTTCTAACCCCATGCTGGGTGTAGAGATTACTTAAAAAAATGTATAAAATCTTTAAAAAATGAGTCAATAGATTTTGATTAGGGTAATGTTATTTGGTAAATTTTGAGTTGTTTTTAAAGATTTTTATTTATTTATTGAGAGAGAGAGAGAATGGTAGAGAGAGAGCATGAGAGGGAAGAAGGTCAGAGGGAGAAGCAGACTCCCTGCTGAGCAGGGAGCCCGATGTGGGACTCGATCCCGGGACTCCAGGATCATGACCTGAGCCGAAGGCAGCCGCCCAACCAACTGAGCCACCCAGGCACCCGGTAAATTTTGAGTTTAACTTTTAAAAAATATATTGACTTTTGCACCTATATGTAGACAGTGAATCTTTCTGAATTAACATGGGACTTGAAAGCCTACATCCAAGATTCTCTCACACAGTTTGCAGAGCCGTGAGTATTACCTTTCTAATAAGTGTTTGAGGACAGTACACAAACAGTGATTTCGTTTAACTGTGCATGACAGAGTTAGAGCATGTTTTAGATTTCATGATAAAACAATGAGTGCAAAGTATATAATTTACATTGTATGATATATTTTTTAGAATTTAAAGGAAACTTTGAGGTAATTTCTTCCAACCCTTCAATTAACAGATGAGGAAAGGGAGTCTTAGATTTAGGGAATTGCCCAAGACCACACGAATAGCAGTGTTTCTGCTATAAAGGTGCAAGTTTTACTAGTTTGGTCAAAAAGTATTGGAGGGGGTTGCACCTGGGTGGCTCAGTCAGTTAAGCCTCCAACTCTTGGTTTCAGCTTAGGTCATGATCTCTCGGTCATGAGCTGGAGCCCTGCGTCATGCTCTGTGATCAGTGAGGAATCTGCTTCAGATTCTCTCTCCCTCCTCCTCTAATCCTCCCCCTGATTTCACGCACGTGCTCTCTCTCTCTCTCTCTCTCTCTTTCTCTGTGTCTCTCTCTAAAACAAATAAAATCTTAAAAAAATATCTTATATATTGGGAACAGTCTGAGCCACGCCTTTCAAGCTTTCTCCCAGATTGGGAACAAATGAATAGAAGCATACAAAGTAACCTTGGTTTTCCTGTCCTTCCTAGCATGAGTAGGGTAATGCAGTACCATGGGTGTCGAAGCAACATTAAGGACCGAAGTAAAGTGACCGAGTTGGAGGACAAGTTTGATTTACTAGTTGATACCAATGATGTCATTCTGGAAAGAGTGGTGAGTGTTTCACCTTACTTTTTTTTTGTAGATTTTTTTTTTTCTTTTTAATTTGACAGAGCGAGAGAGTACAAGCAGGGGAAGCAGCAGAGGGAGAAGCAGACTCCCCGCTGAGCAGGGAACCCGACTCAGGGCTCAATCCCAGGACCCCAGGATCATGAGCTAAGCTAAAGGCAGATGCTTAACTGACTGAGCCACTCAGGCGCCGCCCCATCAGCTTACTCTTAAGATAATTAACAAATACGGGCTCCTGGCCAGCTCTGTCGGAAGAGCAGGTGACACTTGTTCTCGGGGTTGTGAGTTCAAGCCCCACATTGGGCATAGAGATTACTGAAAAATAAAATCTTTTTTAAAAAAAAGATAATTAACAAATGAACTTTTTTATTATTAAAATATGGAAAGAAACTCCAGCATCCAAGGAAATGAAAAGTTTAGGGCTTCTTGTTCCAACAACATTCCGTTTCTGATAGTTGGCTTCTTTTTCCCAAAGATAACATAGTCTTCAAATATATTATTTCAACCTATCCCCGCTCAGTGGAGGTCTATTACAAATCTGTGTTCCAGATTTGCAAATCCCGTTTGTATTGCAAGAGAAGAGGCCTCTGGGTACAGAGCCCAGCCAAAATTTAGTCTTTTTTTTTTTTTTAAACTATTATCTGTAATCGGCTAAACAGCCTGACTCGCATGATTGGAAGGAGATGTGCATCATATGATCTAGCTTACTGTCTACTTAGACCTAATTCCACAGCACAATGTTATTTATAGAAATACATAGAGATCATCCAAAACAAAGCTAACCCTCAACCATGTGACAGTCCTGCAGATGTTTAAATCACGCTCTCCTGTCCCGTGAAGTCATCTCTTCCATAATCTAAATGCCCACAGGTCTTTCAGCAGTTTCTCATCTTTTATGATTTCAAGTCCTGCCATGCTACTCTTTGTCACCTAGATTCCCAAACTGATCCTGCACATCTGCCTCAATGGGACAGAGATCAGAACGCCCTTCATTCTCAGAGTACCATCCTTCTGTGTTTAATAGCTACAATCTAGGGTCTTTTTAATTCTTGGTGGGCCACATCAAGCTGTTAAATCGTTTTTTAATTTCCAGCCCAACTGAGAGCTGTAAAAGGAGTTGATCGAGGGTGGGGAGTGGCCAGCTACCGCCCTGTCTTTGAGCAAATAATGCATTAATTACTTGGGATGACTCTCTTGTATATATATGTCCTCACATGTAATTCTCTGCATCTATTTCTTAAGAATTTTAGGTAATTAACTTGTTAACCCTGAAAGGAAATGCTAAACTATTATGTCCTCTGCCCTTAGGGTATTTTACTGGATGAAGCATCAGGTGTGAATAAGAATCAACAGCCTGTCCTCCCAGCAGGATTGCAGGTTCCCAAAACAATAGTGTCCAGCTGGAACCGTAAGGTGAGGGCTTGCTTCTTTGCCGATCGACTAGAGCTTCAAGTGTCAGCTTTATAATAGGGCCTTTGCTGGTTCTGTTCTGCATTTCCGTTATGATTTATTGGACACAGAACTGGCCGCTGCCTAACTTGTTTTCACAAACAGGCACAACCTAATTACCTCTTGTCTCCTTTGACTCCCTGCAACCTCACACACACAGGTTCTTGAATGCCCTCGGAAGACACAAATGGGAATTTACTCTTCTTTTTTTTTTTTTTTGGAATTTACTTCTCTAGTTTATCGAGTTGCTGTGTTATAAATTGTTTGTATTTGTTATCATAGGCAGGAGAATATAGCAAAAAAACAAAATCTGAAACTTTCCGGTTGCTTCATGCAAAAAACATCGTCCGGCCTCAGCTTAAATTCCGAGAAAAGATCGACAACTCCAACACTCCATTTCTTCCCAAGATCTTCATCAAGCCCAATGCTCAGAAACCCCTCCCTCAGGGTAAGGCATGCGAACTCTGCCTTAGTAAAGGGGAAAACGTCTCCCTCCCACCTTCCTTTCTTCAAAAGGAGCCACTTACCCGCTCTGCTCCGTAACTAGACAAGATGTGAATGTGTTCACCTCTTTTGTGATGGTGGTGTTGTCACTGCTTGGGTCTCCAGCACTCTCTAAAGAAAGGAGGGAGCGCCCCCAGGATCGTCCGGAGGACCTGGATGTGCCCCCTGCCCTGGCGGATTTCATCCATCAGCAGAGAACCCAGCAGGTGGAGCAGGACATGTAAGTATTTGTCAGAACTTTCTACATTCTCCCTCAATTTCACTTTTGTAAGATACATCAATGTAAACAAAGAATGTGAGGAATGGGTGATTGCTATCTTTATCCTAATGTGGATCTTTTTGGTAAAACCTCCTGTTTGTGTTCACAGAGGGCCTGCCCAAGTGGCGTCTTGGGTAACCCTCACGGCAGCCCCGAGGGGGAGCAGTTGCTCTTGCCCTCTTTGTCCAGATATGAAGACAGAACAAGGGATGCTGGTGCTGCCTTCCCACACAACCAGAACCTGAAACCCCAAGCTTTCTTAAAACTGTCCTTCGTCCCTGCCGTTCTGCCTTTCTTGGTGGGTGGGGACTCAAACAGTGAGGTAGGGGCCCCCTAATACATTCAGCAAGGAAAAGGCTTAAAATAGACAAGTGGACCTTGCACGAAGGAAAAGGGCGGTAAGAACTTGGCTGGTGTTGGTCTTTTTGTCACGTGTAGCCAGAGTCTGCCTGAGCAGCATTCCTTCAGGCCCAGCTCCGCACTGAGAGGCCACGGGCCAAGTGCTAAAGAAACAGAGGTGATGAGAGGCCCTGCCCTCAAGGAACTCCCAGACTTAGGATTTTTATGCAAGTAGAGGATAGAGGAATAAAAAATACAGCATTTGGCATCTGACCAACTGCAATATTGGTCCCGTCCTCCCTCACCCCACAGGTTTGTTTTCCTGACCACAAGGAATTGCACATTGTATGTTTTTGTATCCTCCACAGTGGCAGCCATGCAGTGTTTTGAAATAAGAGCTCAGATCCTTATAGATGAGTACATTTTTAATGATCACATCGTAAGGGGGAACCAGTTTGACCTGATGTATTGTTTTGTTTTGTTTTTTGATACCCTTTAATTATCATTTAAAGAATGGTAGTTTTGATAGCGAGAAAATATTTTCATAATGGCCTCTTCTCATTTGTTTTTACAAACTGGACTAAAGCAGTTGTTTTTCCTTGAATCACGGAATTCATCAAAAGGATTTTTCTTTTTGTTTCATTTATTCAGGTTTGCACATCCTTATCAGTATGAACTAGATCACTTCACTCCACCAGATTCAGTCCTTCAAAAGCCACAACCCCAGGTTAGCACCCAAACTTAGTTTATGGATGAATCAAATCAGTGCAATTTTGGCTTTCCTTAAATATCCTTAAAGGTTGCAACTTGGGGTCATTTCTTGAACTCCTAATTCATTTTGTGCTTTAGTAAAGGATGATTCATAATATTCCTTGCTCTTTCTACCTGTGCTTTCGTGCCCCAGTTATATAGGCCGGTGGGGGAGACCCCCTGCCATTTTGTGTCTTCCCTGGACGAGCTGGTGGAGCTCAATGAAAAGCTCTTGACTTGTCAAGAATTCGCGGTGGACTTAGAGGTAAGTTGTGAATGACGTGGAGTGAAATTTTACATCTTCTAGGAGTTCACTCCCTACCCGAGGAGTACAAAATAAAGACTAACAAATCTGGGGTTTTTTGGCAAAAACCGATCCATCGTATAACTTTGTTTTTATAGCTGCCCTCCCAAAATCAAGAAAGGAAAGCCTGGTGTGATCATTTTTCCCTGTTCTCCCCTCTTTCTGGGTTTTAGCACCACTCGTACCGGAGCTTCCTGGGGCTGACCTGCCTGATGCAAATCTCCACCCGAACAGAAGACTTCATCGTGGACACGCTGGAGCTTCGAAGTGACATGTACATTCTCAATGAGAGCCTCACAGACCCTGCCATCGTTAAGGTCAGCCAGGTCTTGTAGCTCTTGCATGTAAGCCTAGGATTTAAGTGCTGTTCACTTTACTATTTCATCATTTTAACATAGACCTGGTGAAGTTGAGAGAAATAATTGTAATTTCCTACATTCTGGCCCCACACGCTAAACTGCGTTTGTTTCTAGGCCCCAGTTAGAACAGCTTAAGCTGTAGCTTGTTACCACCCGGAGAAATGTTCCACCATGTTAATGATGACTGCGGCGAGCCCGTGCCATCAGGATCCTTTGCAATTAATGACTATCCTTGAAGCTAGTAGGGCTGCTTGCTTTGAATCACTGGCTGGGAGCAGTTTCAGACTCGAATAAGAGTGTGTGCAGTTATGAGTGTGGAAGGCCGTTGGTCCAAATTAAAAGAAGCTTTTAAAACTGAACCCATCTCGGACTTCCTTCTGGCCTCTAATCCCAGTGCTGTGCTGACCCAGAGGCCGAGTTTATTTCAGAGCGCGAGTGGCCTTGTACGCATTGTGCTGCATCACTCTGCTTTTGTTTTCAGGTCTTCCACGGTGCTGACTCAGACATCGAATGGCTACAGAAAGACTTCGGCTTGTACGTAGTGAACATGTTTGATACCCATCAGGCAGCACGCCTCCTTAACCTGGGCCGGCACTCCCTGGACCACCTCCTGAAACTCTACTGCAGTGTGGAATCGAACAAGCAGTATCAGCTGGCCGACTGGAGAATACGGTTTGTGCTCGACAAGGACGTGTGGATGGCAGCAGGAAGCGTGGGTGCACCTGAGCCTCTCAGCCACACACAGCCAGCGCAGGCTGTGACGGTAGTGGAACCTTGGCTTTACTGGCGTTGGTGTCTCCTCCGGCTGTTGGCAGCAGCAGAAGCACAACCGGAAATTTTAGGGTGACCACGTGGAGTGTGTGTTAGGCACTCACACTTCATGGAGAGAGTAGTTGGAAGAGGTGTGCCGTGTCAGGATCTGTGGCCCTGCCTGTGTCTCACTTGAAACTCGGATCTCCCTAGTAATGAGGGGGGTGTGTGTGTGTCAGGTGATCTCCCAGAGGTTCGAGAGAATTCTGAGGTACATAAGTGATTGCACCTTACCATGCATGTGTACTGTAGCCTAAGAGCGTGGTGGGGTCCTGCCACACTTTCTGGAGTCTGGGCTCTGCTCGATCACTGTCGGGTGGCCGGCTTCCTCCCTGAGGTAGCAGCTATTGTCTGAAGAAGCCACTCCAGTGGCTCCAGAAGCTTTCCTCCACTTCTGCAGGGCAGAATTTCTAGAGAATCTGATAAAGCCCTAATAGAAGATGAAAATTGACAAAGTCTAAAAGCCACTCCCTGTCATTTAGCCATTGTCATGTGCCAGGCACTGAGCTAAGAGCTTCTGGGGTGTTGTGCTGGGTGGTCCCCACAGCAGCCTGTGAGGTGCCGCCTTTCATTTCACAGGTGAGGAAAGTGAGCTTAAGAGACTTGTCCAAGGACAGGTGTGCAGAGCTAAGGCTCAAACTCGGGATGGCAGGGCCTCTTTTTTCAACCGCACTGTGACCCTGCTGCCCTTTCCCCCCAGCTGTGAAAACAAGGGCTTGTCATATAGAGACGGAGGGACTGTTGATGTAACTACAGTATTGGCTGTGATATCAAAGGGATCCAAAGTCTTTGCACACAGAGCTGATAGATGACGTTGCAGCTCCTAGGGGTGAGCAGCAAAATAATTTCTTCCCTCGCAATTCTAGACCTCTGCCTGAGGAAATGCTCAACTACGCCCGGGATGACACCCATTACCTGCTTTACATTTATGATAAAATGAGGCTGGAGCTGTGGGAGCGAGGCAACGAGCAGCCTGTGCAACTGCAGGTGGTGTGGCAACGCGGCAGGGACATCTGCCTCAAGGTACAGCCTCTTTCTCTGCCTGGGTCCTGGTTCTTCGCTTTGTTCCTTACACTTCTGAAAAGAGCCAAATGTTCTGAAGAGCCCAGGGCACCATTCTGATCCCCACTGATCGTGAATGTTCTGTCATATTTTGCAGAAATTCGTCAAGCCCATCTTCACAGACGAGTCCTACCTTGAACTGTACAGGAAGCAGAAAAAGCATCTCAACACACAGCAGCTGACAGCCTTTCAGCTGCTGTTCGCTTGGAGGGATAAAACAGCTCGTAGGGAAGATGAAAGTTATGGGTAAGGGATTAGACATCCTTTCAATATCTGCTTTCTAGACCGAGCAACTCGGGTAACGAGGAAATAATGGCCTTTTTTCTTTTCACCATGAAAGTTGGTTATGTTTTCCCCCAAGCTGTAGCCTTTAACGGGGCTGGCTGGCTGAATGTAATGTGATTGCACCGTGTGTTTTGTTCCAGATATGTACTGCCAAACCACATGATGCTGAAGATAGCTGAAGAACTGCCCAAGTGAGTCTGAGAACTGATAACGATGTCCTGCCATTCTCAATAGAGAAATTTTATCCTTCAGAATCAGCTTCTCTGATAGTTGTTGCCTCAAGGCTGTTGACTCAGAGACTGTGCTCTAAGGAAGTTCACAAGCCCAGGGAATTCAGACTGTCTGCCCCCGGGCCGCCCTGTAGGGACTTAACTTTCTGGGTTGCAGTCATTTCAGCGGTTATGCCGCAGATGAGATCCAGTGTAAGGCCGAGCCTCCAGCATCCACTTGAAAGGGGGGAAAGTGTGTCAGAGTTTCGCAGCTGTAATTTGTTCCAAACCAAGGCACCTGATGATTTTGAACGCTTTCTGATGTTAATTGAAAAGTAAGCAAAGAATCAAATTTCATTATCTTCCATTGAGCCTGTTGCAGTACTGCTGCTCAGCAAAGCTGCGGGGCTCCCCCCCAGCTCTCCCGGTGAGCTGGAGGCGAGTGCAGGAAAGGTGCCCGCTCAGAGGTTGGTGCCGCAGAGAACACGCGTAGACGCGGCCGGCCCAGGCTGCCCTGCTGGGGGTGTGTTTCCCAGGTCTTCACCTTAGTGGTAGCTCCCTGTTCTCGTCTGCGGGCCTCGGTGGGGAGGGCTGTGTCCCTAAGTGATGAGTTGTGCTTTTTCTTGTCTTCAGGGAACCTCAGGGCATCATAGCTTGCTGTAACCCTGTACCACCTCTTGTACGGCAGCAGATCAATGAGATGCATCTCTTAATCCAGCAGGCTCGGGAGATGCCCCTGCTCAAGGTAAGAGGCTTTGCTGCTAAAGGTTCCAGCTCAGCAGACCCGTCTGTCTGCTGGCACCTGTGGTCTCCTCCCTACACGGTCTGGTCTCCATTCTAAAAATCCCAAGAAAATAGTAGGGGTTAGGAAAGCCAGTAGACAGGTCTTTTTTTTTTTTTTTTTTTTAAGATTTTATTTATCTGACAGACAGCGAGAGAGGGAACACAAGCAGGGGGAGTGGGAGAGGGAGAAGCAGGCTTCTCGCCAAGCAGGGAGCCCGCTGCGGGACTCGATCCCAGGACTCTGGGATCATGACCTGAGCCGAAGGCAGACACTTAACAGCTGAGCCACCCAGGCGCCCCTTTTTTTAAGATTTTATTTATTTATTTATTAGAGAGAGATGGGGGAGGGGCAAAGGGAGAAGGAGAAGCAAGACTCCCCACTGAGCAGGGAGCCCAACTCAGGGCTCAATCCCAGGACCCTGAGATCATGACCTGAGCTGAAGGCAAACGCTTAACCCACTGAGCCACCCGTGTGCCCCAACATGTCTTCTTTATGATTATCAAAAGCTAAAGCTCCTCTTTTTTTTTTAAAGATTTCACTTACTTATTTTTTATATTAGAGGACGCATGGGTGCAGGCCATCAGGGGAGAGGGGCAGAGGGAGAGGGAAAAAGAATCTCAAGCAAACTCTGCGCTGAGCATGGAGTCCAACGTGGGGCTCGATCTCAAGACCCTGAGACCATGACCTGAGCTGAAATCAGGAGTCGGGTGCTTAACTGACTGAGCCACCCAATTCAATTTGAATTTGAATTTCAATTTGGGGGGAAGAGTTTTTGTTTTGCCTCACTAGTAGTATCGGTATATGGTAAATCATATTGCAATTTTTTGAAAGATTATGGATCCAGAAAGATGTAAAATCAGTTCCTTTAGGTTGATAAAGAAGAGACTGAGGATAAACACATTTTCAGTCTTCATGTTAAAATTTCTTTAAAAAGAATCTTTTGGGGCGCCTGGGTGGCTCAGTCGGTTGAGCGACTGCTTTCGGCTCAGGTCACGATCCTGGAGTCCCGGGATCGAGTCCGGCATCAGGCTCCCTGCTCTGTGGGGCGTCTGCTTCTCCCTCTGACCCTCCCCCACCTCATGCTCTTTCACTCTCTCTCTCTCAAATCAATAAAATCTTTGGAAAAAAATAAAATCTTTTGTTAGTTCTACAGTTTGGCCAAGTAGAAAGAGAAACCCTGGTTTCTAGAGGACGATCTCTTTAAGCTCTTAGAAGTCTTCTCCACTGTGCCTTATCGTGATAAAGGGTTTCATTCTTTCATTCAACAAGGAATTATTGAGCACTATGTGATTGTAGTGCTAGGCACTGTAAGGGATGAAGGACAAAAGAACATCTCTGGGCTCTTGTAGAACACATCTAGTGAAGGGACCCAGTCTGTGCTGAGGGAAACACGTGCGGTCACCGAGTTTAGGCACCTTTCCTCAGAAGCTCTTTATTTTTCCTCCTCAGTCTGAAGTTGCAACCAGCGTGAAGAAGAGCGGCCCGCTGCCTGGTCCTGAGGTAGAGTGCTGTATCTGACGTCTCTTATCTGGGGGAGGACACCAGTCAGAGCCGGTGCAGAAGACACCTCCCTGTCAGAGGCAGCCCCCGGCGCTGCGGCAGAAAACTACCGCATGCTTGCAAATCCTTCCTGAGGCCTGTTGATTTCTTTCTGCTGCAGAGATTGGAGAATGTGCTTTTTGGACCCCATGACTGCTCCCACGCCTCTTCAGATGGCTACCCTGTCATCCCAAACAACGGTAATGTAGAGGTCTCTGGAACGTTCTGGAAACTGGCTTGCACACTCTCCACAAGGCTTTGACCTGACTTCCATCCCCTTAGGGCCTGTGCCAGTGCAGAAACAAGCAAGCCTCTTCCCCAACCAAAGAGAAGAAGAAGCCCTGCCAGATACCAGATGCCTTATTGCCACTGCTGTCATCACGCTATTTAACGTGAGTGCTAGGAAACGCTGGGCGGGTGGTGCGTAGACCCATAAGGAGTTACTGGGTTTATCAAACAGGCTGTCTGCCTGGAGTGCTGCATCGACTTTGGAGACTAATGCCAGAAGTAAAACCCAGCAGCCATGGGGACAGGCGTGGAGACAGATCTGCAAGCCAGTCCGTGAGAGGTGGGTGGAGGATTCTCTCGGAAGCCATGCAGAGACATCTGGACACTCACTAGTGCCTAGCAGGGAGGACGGTGTGCACCACGGTGGTTGAGAAGCAGGACCTTACCCCCTCCATCTGCAGGGGAGGCGCAGCCCATCCTGACTCCCAGAAGTGGCGGGCTGAGTGCTCAGCTCAACCGTAGGGACTGGGTATCCCTCTGCGACATGCGCCAGCACCATCTGCATGTGCTCGGGCTGGAAAAGAGGAGGCTTTGAAGAGCATTTCTCTACACTGTGGCTGATTAGGGAAAGTGATGAGCGAGATAGGAAGGCACTAGTACATGGGTAGGAATTTGTTTCACATCCCAAAGAGGGGCTGAGTCGTGGCAGGCAGTGACTCTGGCCAGTCCGGGACCACGTGTGGCCAGCGGGGACCCAGCTGTATTCCTGGACTATGCATTGAGTTGTGACAGAGCTTATCCTGGTCTGTCCTACCCAGCAGGTGTCTCATTTCTTCCCCGGGCTTGAACTACAGGCTCTTTGCAAAAGCAGGACAAGGGTGCAGTTGTTGGTCAAGAAGGGTAGGCGCTGAAATGGCCAGCATGAAAGGAAAATACACAGAGAAAACTCTGAATAGTGCAAACAATAGATGTGGTAAAGGAAAAATCATAATTTCTGGAAAGAAAGAGAAACAGGCATACGATCCGTTTGGATAAAGACACATCTCCAGCTTAGCAGGTGTCACGTGGGAAACAGCTGGGTGGGCCCAGAGCTTCCAGGATCACGGGTCACAGCCAGTCCGTCACGCCAGAGTGCGGGCCCAAAGCCAGGAAGGCGCAGTGCCACCTGCAAAATGTACTTCCTGGGAGTTAACCTTTTTTTTTTTTTTTAAAGATTTTATTTATTTGACAGAGAGAGACACAGCGAGAGAGGGAACACAAACAGAGTGGAAGGGAGAAGCAGGCTTCCCGCTGAGCAGGGAGCCTGACGGGCTCGATCCCAGGACGCTGGGATCATGACCTGAGCCGAGGGTAGACGATTAACTGACTGAGCCACCCAGGTGCCCCGAGTTAACGTTCTTTTTCACATCATCACAAATTTAGATTGGGTCTTGCTTCAGTAATTTGTGAGCGGAGAAGTCTGGGAGCTTAATTGAGCCATCACGGTGAACAGGCAGCTAAAAATAGGAGCATGAACTTTGGGCCACGTGAGCCCGGAAGCGCCGTGCTTCGTCTTAACGGAGGCAGTGGTGTCCCCGTGCTCTGTGTGGCAGGACTGTCACCATGGAGGAAGCAGAAGGATAGCAGACATTCTGAACTCAGTCGGAAGCAGCACCTTGTCGCTTAATTGTACTGATTCCCCACAACAGTTTATAATTCTTGATTTGTAAGTGTCTGGTTACAACCTCACATTCTAGAGCGAGACAGACCTGGGAGTTAGTCCTCATTCTGCCCCTGTTCACTGTCAGGCTCTGGAAGACTTAACCGCTCTGTGCCTCAGTTTCCTCCTCTGTAAGATGGTGAGAATAATACCACATACCTCGTAAGTTGTAAGGACACAGTGAGAACTCATTGGTTCAATAAATGTGTGTTACAACGCTCTCCTGTGCTATATCACAGGCTGTGACTGCCTCGTACATGTGAGAGACCTAAAAGTTAGCTGGTATTCTTACTTTTTTTTTTTTTTTAAAGATTTTATTTATGTGTCAGAGTGAGAATGCGAGCAGGGGGAGCGGCAGGTGGAGGGAGAAGCAGGCTCCCCGCTGAGCAGGGAGCCCGATGTGGGGCTCGATCCCAGGACCCTGGGATCATGAGCTCAGCCGAAGGCAGACGCATAACGACTGAGCCACCCAGGATTATTCCGTTGCTTGCATCGTAATGCCATAGAATGTTTATGGGATAAGTTGCTCACTTTCTGTCCCTGCAGGAACCTAGTGCCGAAGAAAGTAGAAAGAGCCCATTAACAGTTGCACAGAAGAAAGCCCAGAACATAATGGAGTCCTTCGAAAATCCATTTAAGATGGTAAGTAAGCATTGTGTGTGTTCAGGGCTAACAGAATAGGCAGAGCTTTCTGCAGCTCGTAGGGGCCTCTTGCCCAGAAAAGTAGCTGACAGTCTTTGGAGAGAGGGAGTCTCTGAACCCAGCATGTGTCCGCTGTCCCTGGTGTCTGGGTGGAGACAGAGTTGGGGTCTTCTCAGGTGAAACCAGCAAGAACGCCTCGCTCAAGTGCCAGTGAGCTGTGGCCAGGTGGACGCTCTGAATTAGGCCTCCCACAGTGAACCCCACCAGAAAACCCCCGTGCAGGTCCTGAGCACAGTTAAACAACCGTTTCCTTCCATCCTTCCAGTTCCTGCCTTCACTCGAACACCGCGCTCACATTTCTCAGGCAGCAAAGTTTGATCCATCGTCAAAAATCTACGAAGTAAGTGGATTTGTCACCCTTTCCAGGAGTGACTTTCTAAGAAAAGGGGGCTTCTTAATTATCTGAACGAGGTTTTTGTCTTAAGCCTATCTTGAGCCCCCTGAAGATGAATACAAAAAATGCTTTATATATAAGTATATATAAGCATTGTTTCTAGAGAGAGGGGCCAGAACTTTATTCTGATTTTTAGAAGCCTTTGCAGACCTTTTAAGAAACAGGTCTTTGGATTTTGTGTTTGGTTTTTACTTGAAGTTTAGTTTGTACATAGTAAAGTGCCCAGGTGTTAGGTGTTCAGCTTGATGCATTTTTATATGTGAATACTACTTTAAGGCTCTCAGAGGTGACAGCTTAAATTTTAAAACAATTCTGTCTTCTATTGTTTGTTTGTTTTTAACAGCATTATGGATAAGCATAAGGAAACACCTTCCCTGGAGCCCCATGAGATGTTCCTGGGAGCCAGCGTGTTAATTGTTAAAAGCCTTCTTCCTTCCTGCAGGAAGGACCTGCTCTGATCAGACAGGGGCTTGGCTCCCTCTGCCCACCCCCCCCCCCCCCCCCCCCGCTCTTTCATTAGGCAGCAACGGTCAGGCCAGAAAGCCTGATGGGCCTCCGCCCTGTCGCTAGTGGTTAGCCTGCTGTCTTTAGAGATGAGGAGTCAGGGGGATTTTTGGGGCTTCTTTCCTTACTCCCCTATGGGTTATGGCCCATTCAGCCACACATCCCTTACTGTGCTTCTAATACCGGTGAGATATGTTCTAACGCCACAAGCAGATGTGGTATCGTACAACAGCAGACCAGACTCGAGAAGTCCTGCCTTGAAACCCAGCTCCACCATTTGCTAACCGTGTCCCCCCAAATTATTTAGTTTCTCTGAGCCTGTTTCCCATCTCAAAGTGGGGGTGATGAGGATGCCTTTGTCCCGGGATTATGGAAGGGATTGAGTGAGATGGTGGACAGGAAGGCATCCGGCCCTGTGCCTGGAATCCAGTTGCACTTTGTCCTTCTTGATGAGTATTTTATAAATAAAGCCAGTGAGAGATTTTATTTTTTGTGTCATCAGATTTGGAATTCATGACGAAAATGTGTGTAGTGACTAGGTTAGCATGGCCGTCATCTCCTCATTAAAAAAATAAAGCATTGCTAGGTGGCTGAGTTTTGGAGTGTTTTTGTTTTGTTTTCATTGTAGATCAGCAACCGCTGGAAGCTGGCAAGCCAGGTGCAGGTGCACAAAGAATCTAAAGAAACTGCCAAGGGGAAGGCAGCAGAGCAAACAGGTAGCCCTCACCGCCTTGTAACTCAGCCTGTCGGGGTGTCTGTCAAAGAACAGGCCTCATGTATCCTTTTGTTTGTTCAACAAAGTGTTGATACAACTGAGAACAAAGCACAGCCCCTGCCCTGTGGAGCGTGCCTTTTCCTGGGGGGTAGCGGACAGTGTACCATAAATGTACGTTCCTTCCGCTGGCAGGGAGAGGGGTAGGAAGTGCTGGGGTGGGGGGGTGGCTACTTCTCTACGGTGTTTAGAGAAGGCAGTTGGATAAATGTGACATTGAGCAAAGACTGGCTGCTTCTAGGGGAAGAGTGGTCCATGCTGGTGGCCCAGCGAGTCCAAGGCCCCAGGCCGTTGCTCACTGGGCATGAGCAGAGAGTGGCTGGGAGGCCAGTGTGGCTGACGGGGAGAGCAGGACCGTTATATAAGGACGTGGCTTGTGCTCCTAGCGGGTCGGGAAGCTGTGGAGGGTCTGAGCAGAGCAGTGGCCTGCACTGACCAGAAAAGCTCACTCCGAGACTATGGAGAGTCCAGCAAAGAGGGCAAGGGTGGGAGGCCAGGTGAGGGGCTGTTGGCTCGACCAGCGTGGTAGCAGAGGTGGTGAGAAGTGGCCCGGAGCCGGTGTACCCTGGGGTGACCCGACAGCACTTGATGATGAGTTGTGTGTGTGGCACGTAAGAGGAAGAGGGGGGCCGTGGGTGCCAGAAGGGCTGGTCCTGGGCGACTAGAAAGGCAGGGTGGCCAGCAACAGAGTGAGAGTGCATGAGGAGCCAGTTGGGGAAGTGGCTTTGTTCTGGTCCTTGACATGTTTTGATTGCGGCCCCTCTGAGACCTCAGAGAGGCATCACATAGGCTGGCGGCTGGCGGCTTGGGTTCTCAGGGGAGGGGCAGGTGGGCTTTCAGACAGAGTGTAGGAAGAGCATCCGGGCCTGAGCTGCAAGGCGGCCATCTGTGAGGGGCAGGGGGCCAGCGCAGGAGACGAGGGGCAGGGAGGGCGCCCCGGCTGTGGCAGCCACAGCGTTCGATGCAGCCAGATGCAGAGGGAGGCTTGGCTGCTGGAGACAGCAGCTCCACAGACCGTGCTCTCTTGCAGCTGCTCGGGACCAGGTCAAGGAAGAGTACAAAGCGACAGCGGAACAGGCCGTGTCTGTCCGACAGCAGGCTGCCGTACGTGCTGGCCCTTCTGCTTTCTCTTTTGAAAAATGAGCTGCCCCTGGTCATGGTCAGGATTTTCACTGGATAGCAGGAGGGCTTGTCCTGGGCTTCAAGTGAATTGCTTCTACATCTTTCTAGTTCATTTTGCTTGACAATTAGTGCCTGCATTTCCCCTCAAAAACATTTATATTGTGATTCCTCTTACATGATTTTTTGTGATGAATTTATGGTAAGCAGCCCGTACTCCTGAGTCTAGTAGTAGACAAGGTACTAAAGCTTATGGATATCCAAGCCTGTTGTGCCTTTCGTAAACGACCTGATGTCCCTCTCCACCGAGGAACGTGTCCCACCTACTGCTAGCCCCGCCCAGACTCACAGCCGCCCACACTTCTCTCCCTGTCCCCAAGCCCGTAGGTGCCAGCACAGCAGGCCTGGAGGCTCGCAGGCCTGGCTGTCGCATCCACTCCCATGCGTCCTTCCCACGGTGTGTTCACCTTACAGCTGGAAAGTGCCGCCAAGAAGAGAGAGCGAACCACAAGTGACCCGAGGACCACAGAGCAGAAACAAGAAAAGAAGCGACTCAAAACTTCCAAGAAGCCAAAAGACCCAGATCCACCAGAAAAGGATTTCACCCCTTATGACTACAGCAAGTCGGATTTCAAGGCTTTTGCCGGTGAGGCCAGGACTGGTGCCCTTTAAGGAATGTCTGGCCCTGTTAGGAGGGAGGAAGCCGTAGAGGAAAGAAAGCATGACCTGGGCACCGATGAGGCCCGAGAAAGACACGGCTCTCACCCAGGCACTCTGAGAGCCATGCAGGGGACCTGCAGTGTGGGGACGGAAGGCACCGCCCACCCCCACCCTCCTGGGCTGCAGCTACCTTGCCGGGGCCTCGCTGGTCGTGGCACAAGACGGCATCCATTCTAATAGCGGCTCCATCTTTCCTCACAGTAGCTCGTGCCCAGAAACACATTTTCTCAGACAGACACACAAACACGGCAAGGAGTTTACGAAGAAACCTGACGCCTGGGGGCTGCTCTCTGGCCCCTTAGCCGGTGAGAGTCCATCTGCCTCGGAGGGGCTGCAGGCGGCCCTCCTGACAGTAGGGCAGCCTCCTTGGCAACACAACCCTTTGAAGAGAGGGAAGACAGGGCAGGATCGTCACCCCAGGGCCCAAGTGACTGCCAGTGGCACCTCCTGACAGGCACACACAGACCAGACTGGATGTCCTTGGTGTAAGAGGAGCTAGTGCTTTAGCCACCTGCCCCTGAGCTGAGAATAGATCTGTGAGAAATGAGCCTAGTGTTCAGGCTGCCCTTCCCTGCTGGGAACACAACACATGAATTGCTGTCAGCCTAAGTGCCGCCTCCTGCAGGGGGCGGCGAGCTGACAGCCCACCCTTCCTGAACGTCGTGCGCCAGCCCCGCGGTCAGCCCGGTGGGTATATTAACTCGCGGACACGCTCACCGGCATCTCTCTCCTCTCATCTTCCAGGAGACAGGAAACCAAAACCTTCTTCCCAGTTTGATCCAAATAAGCAGACCCAGCCCAGCAAGGTAAGAAATATACTTGATGTGGAAAACTAATGGGATCGTATATGTCAACCGGGCTTTGATTCCAAATTCGAAAAACAAGATACAAGATACCGTTAAAAAAAAAAAGAAAAGAAAAATCATCTTGAAAATTCTCGCCTGGCTCGTGGTGCTTTTTTCCCCTCTCCCTTTGCTGGGAAGACGGCCTGGCTAGGAACCCTCTCCTCTGCACATCCTTTCCCTCACCTCATCTCTCCCCAGGTACAGACAATACCTACCAGCTATTCCAGCAATAAAAAGGAACTTTTAAAGAGCTTGTGAAGGCTGGCGTGTGGTTTGAAGGGGTGTTTGCTGTTAGCTGCCATGGGAATTACAGCTATAGGCCACAAACACTCCCTCAGGCGCCCACACAAGCCTGCATCTGCCCCTGTGGGCGTTGCTGCCAGGCGGGGCCAAACGTGACCGCAAGTTTGGCATGCGGAGGCTGAGGCCTGTGTGGAGCCCTCCTGTTCCTTTGGGAGCTCGTCCGGACGGCCTCGCCTTCAGAAGCACCCAGAAAGGTCCATTTGCAAGAAAACCAGTCACACTGGTGGCGCTGGAGTCTTGGACGGGCCAGCTGGGCTCCTGTGTTGTTTCCTGTGTGTGTCCTGTGGTCAGGTTGTCCCTCGGCTGAAATGGCTTTTTATCTTTTCAGAAATGCGTTGCACCCAAAAAAGTGAAACAGTTGGTGGGAAACAAAAGTATGTCCTTTCCAACCGGAAAGTCAGACAGGTATGTGGGGGAGGCTGGCATACGGGCTCACAGGGGCCCCCGCAGGGCCTAGCTGGAAAGCCTCAGAGAGCCTCTCTTGCCCAGATCCCTCTCTGTCGGTCGGGCAGCTGAGATAGGAGGGAAGGGCCTTGCCAAGTGCCATCCACCTGACAGTCCCTGCGTCCCAGGACTCAAGATTCCCGTCCCTCACCGCCTGTTAACCAACCATATAGCTTCCCGGGGTCACCTCCAAGCAAATAGACTTGAAGTTTTCCCAGATTTTCCCATTTCTGAGGAGTGAGAGAGGAAAAAAATCAGGAAGTAAATGTGGGTCGTCATTAAAAATATTTTCATTAAAAACATGAAACCCTCATCCCCAGGGCAGAGCCCGAAGTCAAGAGGACTCACCCCTCGGGTGTGGCCTAATGAGGAGGGAATCTGCCTTTAGATCTTGACGAGCACAGCCACCCTCATGGGGCCCCAAAGCACTTCCCCAGCCCCCTGTTGACTGCCGGAGTGTGAGGGACATGCTGCTGCCAAGCTCAGTTCTCCAGGAGCCCCGAACGAACCATGCCTCCCCAGTTGTGCGTCATTGAGGTCTGCAGCATTTTGTAAACCGGCTAAGAGCAGACCTCCAGACAAACTGGGAGAAGTAACTCTTCTGTTTTCACACTGTCTCTCTCTGCAGGGGTTTCAGGCACAGCTGGCCAAAGAGATAGTGGGGGAAGAGACCCTTGGAATTCCCCAGTGGACTGGAAGCACCAAATGGTGGTGCTGGTTTTGTACAGACTGATTTTTAAACCATTAAAAATAATTCTTATTGGAAGAAAGCAGATTCCTGACTTTTCCTTTGCTGCCACCTCAGTTCTGGCAGGAGAAGACAGATCCCACCCTGTTCGGATCCCCAGCTTCGGCTGTCTGTGGGTAGGTGCACCCTGGGGGACACTGCGATTTCTGGAGAAATCTACAATCACCCCTGAGAGGAAATGCAGGAGAGCCTCCTGTGACTCAGAAAAGGGCGGCCTCCACGAGGCACGGAGCACTGACTCTGCATTTTCAGGGGGGTCTGTGGGCCATGTTACCTCCTTCCTCTGCCCTTAGGTCATGTCAGTGAAGCCATATGGTACAGACGCCCTGGGGAAGGTGTGCTGGTGCAGCTTCAGAGCCAGTGTGGCCTCCAGAGGCCGGGTCTCCTCCCTCTTCCTGTCTCGCTCCCTTTTGTTTCTTTTTAACATCGTTTTCCCCAATTGGGAAAGTAATAGCACGTTCACTGATAGAATGAGGAAACGAGAAAAATTACATCTGTAATCCTTCCACACGGAGAGAAACTTTCACACCTTGGTATCAAGGCTTTGTACCACATGTCTGTTCATTTCCAAACTTGGGTTTATGTTTCTACAGTTTTTCACACTTAGAAAGTTTTTATTTTTTCTCATTCCAAAATTCCTTCTAGCTCACCATTTTTGAACGTTTAGATTT